GAATGGAATCAGTATATAATCTTTTGAGTCTGGTTTCTCTCACTTAGAATAATGCATTCAAGATGCATCTATTGTCATGTGTGTAAGTAACCCATTCCTTCCTACTGCTGAGCATGAAGGATCTTAACACAGCAGAAAACAACAGCAGCCACCCCTACTTAACTGGAAACACCTTGCCAGGCAGTTGAGAACACCATTCATTATTTTTATGAGGGCAAAACTATCTTGGAGACAATAGTAATGAAGGTAACTGGAAACCAGGGCTGAACTTCAGATTTACAAACCCATCTTTTAAGGACTCCCCAGATTATCTTCTTTGTGATGGCAGGTGTGGGCAAGGAGCCCTGTGGTCTGGGCACTAACACGCCCATAAGCTGGAGAACCCTGGGGTGTTCAGGTCCTGGCAGCTGGGATCAGAGCCAGGACCTAAACCCAGGATTAACCAGCTCCAAATCCAGCCTTCTTTCCACCACTCCAGCAGCTTCCAACCACATCCATGTGAAAGCAAACCCTGCTGTCCTGACCACACTGTTCCACAGATGGGAGGCTGATGGGATGGGAAGAGAGCTTTTCATCAAGGCCTGATGATAACAGAATCCCCAGCAGGGACCATTCCAAAATGCAGCCTGAGGGGCCCTGACTCACGCTTTGGAGATACTGAGTCAGCATCTCCAAAGGACACTCAGGCATCTGCATTAATTAGCAAGCTCCACGGGAGGTTCTGCTACGTACTGGGCATTGGAAATTGCTCCGGGGAAGGAATACACACATCATTCTGTCCCCAAGCAATGGAGAGAATCCGGCAGAAACACACTTCTAGACATCCTTCCTCTGCAGTTGCCTAACAGCACTAATTCTTTGCTTTTCCTCTTTTGACTGTGGCTCCACCAAGATTCTCTCTCTCCTTAGTTGGCCTCCTCCACTTGAGACACACACATACAGTACAGAGCAAGAATCCACCTGCTAAATGAAGCAACAAGACAGCCAGGCCCGGGAGCCCTCCTGTGCTGCATTCCGAGGGTGATGGTCAGGAGTACGGTCCTGTGGGTCGCTTTTGTTCACCCACCCACGGAAACTTGGCAGAGTGAATGTATGTTTTGGATCTTCAGAGGCTGTTACTCATGGAAACCCTGAATCCACGTAAAAACTCTTTCCAAAGCCAGATGGAGTTTCCATTCAGAAAAATCTTGGCACCGGTTTCATCAGAACAATCACAAATTCCAGGCAGGACCTGAGAAGACTCGATGAAAGTGGTGGCTGACGGAGGGTCGGGGGCCTGGAACCAAGGGGAGGACGGCCTTCGCTGGCATGTGTCTGGTGGCCCTGCTTCTAATCCACGGGTCTCACAGATTGGTAGTACTCTTCTCTAATGCAAACCTCCCTTGAGAGGAATTGCCTTGTTAAAATACTGCCCAGACAGTTCAGTAGCCAGTAACAGAAAATTACTAAATCTAGCTCAAACAGAAAGAGAAGAATCCAAAAACATCTCACAGCGTCCAAGGGCAGATGGTGCAGCTGGGGCTCAGATTCATAAAAGGACCACAACCAGGAGCCAGAATGACATCATGGAACGAAGCGGCTATTCTCTTCCCCCCCATCACCCCCCTCTCAGGCTCAGGGAATCTCTAAATGTCCCTCCCCCTCATTCCCTCTCTGTCTTTCTCTTTTCATATTGGCTCTTGTCCTCCAGCAGCTAAATGGTGTCTCCAGTCTCAAAATCCGAGAAAGAATCTGATGAGTCAAGAAAGAATCCAATCTCCAGTTCAGTCAAAGTAAATGTAGGCCCTGGGGGGTGGCTCAGTTTGTCGGAGCGTCACCAACATGTTGCAAGTTTGGTCTCTCCCCAGTTAGGGTATGCACCTACATTTCGGGTTTGATGCCCTGTCGGAGGAACATATAAGGAGGCAACCGATCAGTCTCTCTCTCTCTCTCAAATCAGTAAACATATTTTCGGGTGAGGATTTAAAAACAAGTAAATGTAGATGGAGAGATATCCATGTGGTTACCACATGATACCCGACTCCCACTAGAGTTCATTGGACCCAGGAGGGACAACCCCCCAGGCACTCTGGAAACAGCTTTTATTATTTTCTCTTTTTTAAATTTTATTTTTAAAATTTGTTTTTCAGCTACATGGACATACAACATTGATCAGTTCTAGGGGTACGTCATAGCGATTAGACTTGCCGGTGACCTTCCCACCAAGCCCTGTGCCCCCCGACGCCGCACGTAGGTGCCACCCTATTGTGGACTACATTCTCCACGCTGTGCTTCACAGCCCCGTGACTGTTTTTACAACCGGCAGTGTTACTCCCTCACACTTCTTTCCTTCAGTGCCACTTTCTCTCTGTGGTTTCCTCCATCTTACTGTCCTGGAATTGTCTGCTTCCTTCCTTGCTTTTTCACATCCCGTAGATTCCTTGTGGGCCAGGACCCCCACCTCTGGCAGGCCCCTCGTTCCTTCCGCATCTCCTTATTAAAGGCTACTGCTCCGCAGGGCCCAGCTGGACTGGAGGTGGCGGCGGGGACCAGCATCTCGAGTCCTGGGCAGTTCCACTTGGCTTGCATTCGGCCAGTGGAAGCAGATACTAACTAGTCAGGAAGATGCGCTATCTCTGAGCCTGCCCTTCACACTTTCCCAAGTTATGTTTAGCCCAGTCTGCACGGAAAGGAAGAAAAAGGGAGAAATGTGTAATCAACCCTCCGCTGGTTTAATGAACTATTCTGAATGGTGGAGTGTTAAAAATCAGTGCATGACCATCACCCGTGCTACCTATACATTATCTGAGGTTTCCTGGTTTGTGGTCCGTGCCCTCCCTGAGCAGGGAACCGATAAGCCTTATCTGCTGCCTGGAGCCATTACCTGGCTCCAGCTGCCAGTTAAGCGCCCCCATCCACCCCGGGGAGGAAAGCTCCCAACCATTCCAGCAGACAGAGGGCCTTTCATGAGGAGAAATGCCACTCCACCTGGGCCTTGTGTGGATGCCCCCCCCCCCCCCCCCCCGCCATTCCGGCCTCTCACCTCGCAGCAATGCCGGCCACTGCTGGGCCCGCAGGAGGCGAGTATTTCTGTCAAGAGCAGATCTAAGAAAAGTCCGTTTGGTCATTAGAGGACTTTTGTTTTGCTTTGTGAGCGGGGAGTGGGGAGCTTGCTTTGTTTGTTTTTTTGTTTGTTTGTTTAAATGTCTTCACCAACTGTATTAAATAAACCAGAAATAATACAACAGACACACCATACACCCATGTGTAATTAATCAATGGCGTTGATGAAGCAGATGTGAGAATTTGGACACTTTCCCTTCAGCACCGCCCCCCCACTGGTTCACTCTCTTTCACGGAGAGAAAGTGTTGTGAATACAGCTGTAGACGGTCCCCACCTCTTCTTCCTCTGCCCCCACCTCACAGGCAGCCTGCCCAGCTCTGTACTTTCTTACTGTACTTGTAGCCCCATAAATGATATGTACTGTTGATTTGTTTTCAAAATACGCACACGTAGTATTCTGTACATATCATTTTGCAAATTGCCAAGTTGTGCTTCTTTGAGATTTATCCAAATGGTTGCCTAGTGATATTGTTCGTTACTTTAACTGCTGTAGTCTATTGTTTGTAGAAATCCCAGTTAGTCCATTTTCCTACTCAAAAACACGAATATGTGGGTTTCACATTTTTTGCTATTGAAATAGTGCTTCAGTAAACATCTTTATGTGTAACGCCTCGGGCCAGGTTTATAGCAGAGGAGGCTGGTGGTGAAGGAAGGCTCTGGAGCCAACTTCCAGGTTCAAAACCACTTACTAGCTATGTGGCCTTGGGAACGTGTCCTCATTTGTAAGAAGGGGAAAGCTGCGGGCCCAGCCTCAGACATAAGAGTTAAATGAGCTGTACCTGTTTGTGGCACATAGCTGAGTGCTTAGTGATGGTGCCGCTGTATAGATGTATCAATAGCCATTGTTAATTAATTGGCCCATCCATTTCTCAGGGACCAAGCGTGTGTTATGGTTCCAGCCTGGTAACACAAAAGTGAGAAAGTCTGCCCCGCCCCCCCAGCTCCTGGCCTCTGGGGAATGGGCCAGTGACCAGGCAGACCACAGCGAGCCAGGGCTGCAGTAGGGACGCTCGTGGTCCCGGGACAATGTCCAGACGGAAAGAGTAATAGGAAGAAATAGGAGGAGGTTTGACACAAAACACTGGCTTATTCAAAAAAAAATATGTGAGAAACCCCTGTTCTCTGCACGCACATGGTTTTAAAATTGTTTTCTTAAAAAAATAGTGCCACCTGTTCTCAGTGCTGGAGAGAAGACTGTGAACAAGACGGTTCTGTTCCCATTTCGACAGCGAACACACAACCCACGCGTGCCGCACACTTCCCATGCCCGTTATGCTCATTAACTAAGCGGTGCACTTGCTGCTGTAACCTCCGCGTTACAGTCGGGGTCCCGGAGCGCAGGCAGATCTGGTAACCTGGCCAGACGTACCAGGTCCCGAGGAGCCGGGCTGGGACTCCCGCCGGCGGCCTGGCTGCGGCTGCCTGGCCTTCGCCACCCGGCATCCGCCCTCGAGAGGCTCGCTGACCTTCTCCTGGCCTATTCTGGGAGCTCCGAGTGGTTTCTGGGCTGGAGTTCGGTGTCGGCCGGGCCAGACAGATACAGGTCAGCGTTTGCTGGGCCTTCGACCCCGCGGTGAGGGGCTGGGATTTCGCCCTGGGTGGGGGGCTACCCGCCGGGCGGAGGGTGACTCGGAGGGGCCCGGCAGGACGCAGGCACGCACCCCCTTCCCCGTCCCCCTTACAACCCCGTTGGAAGAATTTTAGGAAGAGAAGGGGACGGGCTGGGAGGCCGGGATTAAGAGAAGAGGACGGCTCCCTGAACGACTGGATCTCGGACGCAGAGGAGGCAGGCCCGGGGCGGGAGGTCGCCGGCGCTGGTGGCCAATGGCTGCGGGCTGGGCGCGGCCTGCCCCGCGGGGCGGGGGCCGGGCGGGGCGCACTCGGGGCTCGGGTACCAGCGCCGCCGCATCCCCGCCGCGCTCCTGCACTCGCGGCCCGCCCACCGCGCCGCGCCGGCTCCCGCAGCCCCGCGGCGGCCTACCCGCGAGGCCCGGCAGGTCCAGCCGCAGCACAGCTCTGTCCAGTCCGGTGGGTGAGGGGCGGCGGCGGGGATGGGGTGGCTCTGCCTGATCCCGTTTGTGTGGGTGAGGGGCCGGACGCTGGACTGGGGTTCGAACAAGGGGGTAGTGTGTGGACTGCGCTCCGACCACCCAAATGGGGCCGAGGTGGGGTGGCGGCGCGAGCGGGGTAGGGGCACTGGAGCTGCGCTCTGACCTGGTCGAGGAGGAGGCAGGGCTCGAACCCGCTGAACCCAGGAGGTGGGGTGAGCTGAGGGCTATTAGCGTAGGGGACCGGGGTGCGGATACCCGAAGCAGAGGCCATCACTAGGGGCGGGTGCAGTGCTCGGCCCCTGCTTGAGGGTGGGGGTAGGGGTACGGAGGGGATCAGAGCGTGGGGGCGCGGGGCTGGTAGATCCTAGCAACGCCTAGATGGCGTTGCTTCTCGGGCCGAGGGAGCTGCGTCCTGGGGGCACTCGGTTTCTTCGCATCTGGTGGGTGCGGGGAAGAGAGGCGCCGGGGGCGGACCTGGACTCGGAGCGCCCGGGGAGGCCTGGGGGGGCGGCGAGGCTTGCGAGGGTGGTCCGCGCGCTCTGATCCGGTTCTGCAACACAGGCGGAGGCGGCGGCGGCGGGCGCAGAGCGGAGATGCAGCGGCCCGGGAGCGCCCTTCTGTGCCTGCTGCTGGCGGCCGCAGTCCCCACGGCCCCCGCGCCGGCTCCGACAGCGACTTCGGTTCCCGTCGAGCCCGGCCCGGCTCTCAGCTACCCGCTGGAGGAGGCCACCCTCAACGAGATGTTCCGCGAGGTAGAGGAGCTGATGGAGGACACGCAGCACAAACTGCGCAGCGCGGTGGAGGAGGTGGGTGCGCCACAGGGTTCTGGGAAGCACAAGGCTCGGGCTGGGGAAGACCAGGCAGCGGGAGGCAGCAGGGTTCCAGGCTAGTCAGGGTCCTAGGTTTCGCAAAGGGGCTGCGAAGGGCCCGCCGCAGTCGGACTGATCCGGAGGCAGCTCGGGATGACCCCACCTCCCGCCCTGTCTTCCTCCCTGCCAAAAGATCTGGGTGTGAGCCTGTCCACCGAGTAGCCTCCGGCTGGACCCACTCACAGGCGGCCAGTTCTGGGTCATCATCCGCAGACTGCCCACCACAACCCAGTTTTCTTCCCTTGTGCGGTCCCCCGTGCCCCTCCCCCCACCGCCACCACTTCGCGTTGTAAGCAGATGTGTCTAAGGCCCCTGGTATTCCAGTGTTGTGTTTTTGCAGAAGAGGCTAAGGAATCTCCAGGCATTACAAGTTCCAGCTTGTCCACTGGGCTTTGAGCTTGTGCAATCTTCCCAAGACACAGTTAAGTTGCCGTGTGGGGACCAAGAGCCCTGAGCTTTGCTGGTCATCTCTGTAGACTTTCCCCAAAGTCATGTGGGGCAGAGGAGAGAATTGGAATCCTGAGCCCAGCAGTGTGAAAGATCAGGAGGCGGTGGGTTGGGGGAGGAGGGGTAATATGAAAAGTAACCCCACCTCCACGCCAAGAATGCTTTGGAGTCAGTCCCAGGCCCAAGGTCCTCTTCTGCTACTCACAGGTGACATTGGACAAATCCCTTAACATTGTGTACCTCAGTTTTCTGTGTCAAATGCTATGATATGTGTGGGCACCTGGCATATAGCAGCTGATAGTATCAGATACCAGGTACGGAGGCAAAACTGCCTGGCTTCTTCCTTCTGTCACCTCCCAGGTCCTAACACTGCAGTTGGCATCCTCTGTGGTGGGTGTACAACTTTGCCAGGCCTGCCAGCCAGAAGGTGCAGCTGGCCCAGCTCTCCCAGCCCTGGTTCCTGGTTCCTGGTTCCCGGTGAAGAGCTCAGACTGTGTGCATAGTCACTGTCAGGCCCAGCTCTGGCTGCAGCCTCTCTTCGGAGAGAGGGAGTTAGAAGAGATTAGAAGTCCAGGCTGATGATGGGTCAGGTGCCTTCACATCCATTTGGGTAAAGTCCCCAGTGCTGGCTTAGGTCTCTCAGAAGTTGCTTTCTCCCCTCACCCCTGTACAGTTTGGGGATATAGCCCCCTCCTCCTGTAACAGCCAACCGGGAGTTTTCAGTGAGGCAATTACATGGGCAGCTGTACCTGAACATTCACTGCATGGGCCAGATTCCAAACCTATGGACTTTCTATTTCCTGTTAAAACACAAGAATCATGACATGGAGCAATGAAAGAGGGAGGGCAATCAGGCCCCCACTGTCCCTTAATTCTGCACTTTTGAATTAAATTGAGTTTGTGACCCCTCCGCTCTTCTCTGGATCCCAGAGTTTGCCCTCCCACAGGCAGATTCTCAGTGACCCTGACTAGGTCACTGCCTTGCTTTTATTCAGCGGGTGCTGGTCCATGCGACGTGGCCCTCGGATGGGAGCTCCTGGCGAGGGAGCAGCAGGGACCCTTCAGTATCTTTACTGATCAGAGCAGTTTGGGGCCCAGCAGGACCGTAATGGCAGGGTCCACGCTGCGGGAACTGTCCACATCGGCTGTGCCTGGGCCCCAGCTGTCCTCTCTCCAGATGTGGCTCTGCTCACCTTGGGAAGATGGGTGAAATGAAGTTGGCTGCCAGGGGAGACATTGGTTATTACTGCCACGCCACTCAGTGGCTGTTTCCCAAAGAGTGTCCTCGCTAGCAATGGGGACAGGTTGAGAGAGAGGCTGAACACCTGAGGGGCCGGAGAACGGGCCCTGGGGGACCAACCTTCCTTTATAGGATCCCAGCTGTGTCACTTGCTCGTGGTGGCATCCAGGCTCTGAAATGGAGGGAATGTCTACACTTCAGGTAAAAGAGAGAATTAAATGGAAGGGTGCGAGTAAAGCAAGTCATCTGACCATCTAAAATGGGGTTGAGTTCAACTGGTATAAGTCAGCCTCTAGTGAGGCTGTTTTAAGGATTAAGGAGATTATTTGTTATTGATAAATAATGGCTATTATCATCATATCAACAGTACTAGTATGTCATCATATTAACAGTACTAGGATGAATAATAACAAAGAACCACCAGTGTCCAATATATAATAGATTCTCAAGAGACTGTGGCTATTGCTATTAATTGTCTTTTTCAAGAGACTGCCAAAAGGCCCCTTAAATCTCATAAACACAGGACAGTTGCTATTTACTCTTGTCCCGGGTAAGAACCAAAAGTACTGGGCCAGATATATTAACTGTTTACATAGCTGCATCGTGAATCGGCTTTCAGGTGACTTCCCGACATTTCAGATATTTCAGCTGACTCCGCTGTGGATTTCTGTAGTGGGGGAGACAAAGGTAACTCCGCTCGTAGCATCGTTATCAGGCAGGTCTAATCTTCACATGGTTCCGTCCAGGCTGTCCCTGGTTTCTTCTCTTATTCTATAAATTGCTGGTAAATGTATTTGGAGGATAAAACCACTTCACCCCATCCCCCATGCACTCGTTGCCTTGTCTGTAACTGGTGTATTTTAGAATATTCCCAGGAAGGACCCCAATACCAAGCCCGGATTGATCTTTCAGTTTTTCCTACTGTACTTCTTTAACCAACTACAGATTCAACCAACCACAAATACCATTTTAAGTAACTTTCGCATTCCTCCTCTGTGAAACAAGTCCTATTGCTTATGTTTTTCGTGCTAGTGGCAATAATAGTTGTGGTTGAAATTTCCATTGTAAACTGTACTTTTAGCTCATGGTGCCATTAAAGAACTGTTAGCTCATCCTGTTGAAATAACCACTGGTTGAGAGGAGGGTTTATGGAAGAACTGTGCTCAGCCCAGAAGAAACTCTAGATTTGGTAACTTGTCAATTATTTGAAAGCCGAACCGGAAGATTCAGATTCCCGTGGGAATGTTAAAAAGACGAAGACATTCGCATCTCCTTCCGGATAATCGGTGCTGCGGCATCCTTGGTCTCCTACTCTTTTCCAGCTCTGCCTGAGCAGGCCAGGCTCTCTCTCACGAAAAAAAAACGAGGTCGCTTTCTTGCCTATCTTTGTCTCTATTCTTGAGTCCATTCCATTTCTCCTCCATTTGTTAGCAAACTCCTCAAGCATATACTAGATAGTCCGCTTTTTCCACTTCTACCCAAACATTCCCTGGCAAGCTGCCTTCTGAAACTGCTTTCTTAAAGGGCAGTACTGTGAAATTACTCTTAATAACTACTTATTACACCTTTGCTAGTCGGCAAATGCTGTACCAAGCACTTGGATTTTGTGATCTTAATTCTCACATCTGTTCAACAGAGTAGGATTATCCCCCATTTTCTAAAAAAGAAAGCTGAGGTTTAGGAGACATTCGTCATCTTGCCCAAAGCCACTCAGCTGCTTAGCGGCAGAGCCAGGACTCAGCCGCACCTTACCTGCCTCTAGAACCCTGGCACGTTCTACTGTGCTGTCCTCTGAAGACCCTGGTGGTGGGTGTGTTTGCCTAATCCTGTGACCAGCTCTCAGTGGCTTGGTCTGTCCTTCTAGACATAGTTGGAGCCTTTGCCACCTGGAAGTCCCCTCCTCAGCCATGACTTCCTCCCCCCAGACCTGGTTCTAGCCAGCCCTTGACGGTATTCTCTTCTTCCTCTGGCTGTATGGTTTCCCAACTAGTCTCCGGAACTTGCTGCAAGTCCCTAGTATGGCCTGGAGCAGAGGTTCTTACCTGGGAGCAGGTAGGAGGCAGGGAGAACCCCAGAATCATCTGAGAAGCTCATGGATATCTGTGGTCCCACCCCCAGAAGTTCTAACGTCGCAAGTCTGGTGAGGGATCCATATATACTCGTATGTATTGAAGGTTTGGGCCATGACTGCTGTGTCCTCCTGGCTGAGAACCAGGACAACAGCCTCTGCCTCAGAACTGCCCCTGGATCTGCCTCTTGAACATTTTCTGCTTCATCATCCACCACTTTACGCTGTGTCCAACATGGACCCTTTGTAGCAGCTCTCAGCACATACCGTTGCTGTCCGGGCTGCCACAGCTTTGCCATCTTTGGGTTCCTCTGTGTCCGAACCCTACCCATTTTTGAGACCAACCCAGTCATGCCTCCTCCTAGAAGCCTCTCTCCTCTCCTTTGAACCCCTTATTTGCCTTTAGAGACCATCATAATTATCCTCAGACTGGTTTGTGTGGGGCTCTCCTATCTCCCCAGTAAAAGCATAAGCCACTCGGGCAGAATCATGTACTGGGACGGCACATAGTTTGCAGACAGACTGACCTGCGTTCCAGTTTGAGCTTTGCCACTTACTAACAATCTGATGACCTAAGGCAGTTTCCTTCGCCTCTCTCAACCTCGCTTTCTTCATCTGCAAAATGAGGGAAATAGCAACTTCTTCATAGGATTGCTGTGAATATTCAAGGAGATGTGGTCGGCATCTGGTGCAATGGCTCACACACAGCTGACGTCCAAACACGGAGGCTACAGTGATGATGACGATGACGATGACAATGATGAAGCCAGTGATCCACTTTAAACATCTCCGCAGTCAACTCAGGGTCAAACACTGACCAAGTCTTCTTATGATTTTCCAGGCCTTTGTGCCTGTCAGGATTTCTCCACACTTAAGTTCAGTGTTTCTGAGACATGGAAATTCGTGTCCAGTATCCAACCCAGCTCAGTAAATCTGGTTGGAAGAGGAGGGAAAAGAAGGGCCTCGTGTAGCACATAAGGAGAGACAGGACAGTGATTTTTGAATAAAAGTGGTGGGGGGAGCATGTTTCTGAGGATTAGTTTTAAATAGGATCAGTTTTCATTAGTTTTAAATGAAAATAGCCCAGAGTGAAAGATAGCGGTGTGGGAAAATTGCCAACTACCAACTAGATCTTCTCTTTGTGTCTCTTATTTTTGATTCCTAGAGAGAGTAGCTGATTGGCTCGACTGTTTCATGATGTGGCCTCCCTTTGAGTCCAATCAGCTGTGAATGGGTCATTTGTCAGCTGCTCACTCATCAGGGCTGGGACAGGGTGATAAGTCTGGAAGGGAAAACCAGGTGAAGATGTGAGTCAACCAGCTCTCTCCAAACGGGTCATCTTGTCCCCAAGAGGTGGAGTGGGGGAGGAGGCACTGCGTGGCCCTCCTGCGGGGGGAGGGGCTGCCTCAGTTTGGGTCCTCTCCACCACCACCACCACCAGATCTTGCAACGAGAGTTTGGGAGCAAATTATTTATTTTAGAAGTGATCCCAGAAACACCAGGAAGAAGTGGACAAGTGACATGGAAGAGAAGAAAAGCAATAAAGACTGTGCTGATGAGAAGGTTACTGCTCTGGGCAGCTAGGCCTCGATGCCACCAGGGTCCTCGGAGAGAGATCCTCCGGCTGAGGGCGGAGGGAGCTGAGTTACTGACCCCATCACCCACCTTGCACTGGTTGAGCATTGTTCCTGGGTGTTAACTCCCTTGCACTGGGGGTCTGTGCACACTGAGCACACTTCGGCAGCTGGAGATTACCTGCAGAGAGGGACAGAGTTGGTTGTTGGCATGGAAAAGAATTGAATACAGGTGACCTCCAGATGGGGCCATGAGGAAATGGGCGGGGCACCCATGGCATTTGTGCAGGGGCCAAGAACTCAATGGGAAGAAGCTCATGTCCCAGCTCTGCCCTTTGCTGAGAGTCTCAGAAAGTTGTCTGGTCTCCCTGAGCCTCAGGTGCCCCATTTATAAAACACGCACCTCGTAGGGAGCTTGTGAGATTTGTGGCTGTGATGTAGGTAAAACATTTACTGCAATGCCTTTTCCTAGTGCGTACTCAATTAAAGGTACCTGTCATTATCATCAATAGTTGTGATTGCAAATAGGAAAAGGGAAGTAGTTCTTTTTTTCTTTTAAAAATTTTTGGGAGGGTGAAGGAAGGCAGGAAAAGGTAGGGGGGCTACATGGTCATGGAAGGAAACATGAGTTAAGGTGGCGAACACACAATGTGACATACAATACACATGATGTCTTATAGAATTCTCCTGAAACCCATATAATTTTATTGACTAATATAACCCCAATAGAGTCAATGAAAAGAGTAAAAAATATTTTCAGTTACAGTTTACATTCAGTATAATTTTGAATTAGTTTCAGGTGTACAGCATAGTAGGTAGACAATCATACACTTTACATAGTGGTCCCCCTGGTATTTCCACTACCCACCTGGTACCTACATAGTTACTACAATATTATTGATCGTATTTCCTATGCTGTACTTTACATCCCCATAGTTTTTTTTCCCCTAATGGACTCTGACTTGTGTAAAGAGAAAACAGTTTTGCTGATTTAATTTGTTGATTTAATAGATGGAGGCGGAAGAAGCCGCTGCTAAGACGTCAGAAGTGAACCTGGCAGACTTACCTCCCAGCTATCACAATGAGACCAACACGGAAACCAAGGTGGGAAATAACACCGTCCACGTGCACCGAGAAATTCACAAGGTAAGGGCAGGTGCGGCCAGCACTGCCTTCTTTCCACAGCACCCAGTCCCCTCGAGAACTAAGGTTTTGTTTACATATTTGATACACAAGCCAAAAACACAGATGAGGATGGTACAGCACAGATTACAGACTAGAGGGAGTGGAGGGACTGTTAAAGGGGAAAGACATGTATCAAAACCCTAAGTGGCTTTTGCATTTAAGCAACAAGTTTAACTCTAGGGTCCTGCCAGTCCAGTTGCAAAAGAATGTTCAGGGATTTTTCATTACCTGAAAAAAGGGAAAAAAACAAAAACAAAAACAAGGGCCTGCAGAGATATACTGTGCTTTCCTGGTGTTGAACTTGCAGAGTTTATCTTGTGGGTTTTTATCCTTGTTTCTGTGGAGTCAAAATAGAGTTCTGGAGTCCATGCTACTGTTTCCTTAGGAGGAGCTCACATGGGACCTACTCTGTCTTCAGAAGGAAAAGCCTCGGTTGCCACAAGATTAAGCATCTTGTTTTCTGGTTACCCATTTAAAATTCTGCAGCAGAGTTTTTCCAGCGTACCACCTGTCTTTTGGTCTAGTATCTTGCAAGAAAAGCAGGCAGTTTCATTCCAGATCCAACTTGAGGAGGAAAACACTGCAAATCTAGAGGCACATGGTTAGCGAACTCCTGCGGTGAGATGTCTCCAAGGAGACTGTGACAGGAAGGACTTTGAGAGCAAGCTCTGTGAGCCTGTGTTGGCTTGAGGAGTCTGCTGTGCAGACATTCAGGATCCCTGTGCCAGGGCGTGGAGTCGCCCTTTCGTTGTGGCCGTCAAGGAGCTTGACCTCTGATCTCATTTCAGCTCCTCTATGCGGGGCCACAACAGTGCTCACAAAAGAGCCTTACTTTCGTTCAAGTGTTCAGGTAATGAAACAATAGCACTGCTGCGCCATAGCACACCAAGGGGTCGATTTTCATGGGCCATTGCCTTGACTATAAAGTAGCTTCTGTGTATGGCTCTTCGCCTGCTGCATACTGATGGGCCCAGCTCCAGAGCGTGCCCCGCCCCCAGATGAACGAACGAATCAGCTGCTGAACAGAGCCTTTTAGCATTTCTCATCTAAAGACTGGGGAATGTTTCCAAAAGGGATTATTTTATTCTCGTCAAAACCAATATTAAGTCACCCTTTCTGACAATAATTAGTGAATAAGTTCAGCCGCTTTTTAAAGTTGCTCCTTGTAGGCATCAGAATATTTAAGTGTGAGTTTCCCCAGTAACTATTGTGATACTGAAAAATTAGGTAAAATGTCCTGACCCTCAGTGACCACACTTATGAAATAGGAATATCAGCAGCTGCATTACGGTATTGTGAAGGTCAAATGTCCTAAAGTATATGAGAGTTCAATGCCAACTGTAAAGTGCCATGGAACAGCAAGTTGCTTTTATTATTACAGCTGTTATTATAGTAAAGTTATGTTACCAGCACGGTGTAGTGGGCTCCATGGTGCCCTGTCCTGTGCAGTGAATGCTTCAGGACAGAGGACTCGGTGGTGGTAGAACATATGTGGAAACATTCTATAGATTCTTCTCATGTGGACACAAAAACCCAGGTCAGTGTAATAGGCTCTGAGATGTCCTACAGCCTGTATGCATACAACTGCAGAATTTCTTAAAAATACAACTTTGGTTGATTCTATTAAAATTGGGAATGCAGGGAGAAGACATTATGTCTTTGCTGGGGAGAGGAACTATTTAGATAAAAAATTTAAAGTATGTGGGTGAAGACATGATTCTTAACTCCTTAGAAATAGAACCTGATCCACCACCATAAATTAGGCTGAGTTTTCACTTTGTTCTGGCTGCAGGTTCCTGCGATACTGAGCTGGCAGGAACTTTAAAGGTCACCTAGAGATGAGGAAATTGTGAATCAGAGAGAGGAATGGCTTGTTCCTGTTACAGAGCAGATGGTTGTTGGCAGCGGAGCCAAGGCTCAAAGATCACAGATCTCCCAGCTCTTGGGTCAGCAATCCTTCCGTTTTTCATCATGAACCTAAACATTAGACGTGGCCTTGACAGGGGCCGGGACGGCCTGGGCTCCACGTCAGGACTGGAAGGCTCAGCTCTGAGGGGCCTGCTTCTGCAGAATCAGGGGCAGACGACAGACAGGCATAGTGGGCCAGGTCTCTCCTACTACTCAAGTACTTTTTTAAAACATACAAATTATTTGTACGTAAATATTTAGTACTTCTATTTTCTTACTACTCCTTGTCTTTTATTCATTTTCTGGCATTCAAACATGGACTTTCTTGTACTTCTCAACAGTTCCACACATAAGTCATCTTTTCCCCCTCACTTGACTGAAATCCTCTGGGGGGCAAGGTATGCATCATACTACTGGTTTTAAATCTCCAGGGTGCATCAGAATTGCCTGGGGAGCCTCTAACATTGAACTCACCCCAGCCCAGTCCTCAGGGGTTTTCTGTCATTGATATTGGGCAGGTTTTAGAGCTCCCCAGAGCTTTGATCTAGTTCTCACACGTGCCTATGCACTAGACTCATCTGGGGAGCTTCATGAATTAGCTATGCGTAGGTCCATCTCCTGGGGCTCTGGGTTAGTTGGTCTGAGTGCTTCCTTCATTGATCTGAGTGGGCCCGTCACTGATGGAACTGCCCCCTTTGTGGATCTGAAAGGCTCCTCCACTGATCTGAGTGATGCCTTCAGTCATGGGGGGGGGGGTGTTTTTTGATCTGTGTCCTTGACTGAGCTGAGTTTGAGTCACCTGAATCAGAAGTGGGGCAGCTAAAAGCTGCTCATGAAAGGTGTTCATTTAGACCCCCCCAGACCTGTAGCTGTAGAAAAGAAAGTTTACCTTGGGTTCCAAGTGAGGCGCCCTGAGAATGATAAAAACAGCCAGCCCTGAGCATTTGCGAGGTGACGGGCTCTGTGCGGAGTGCTTTACACAGACCACCTCATTGCTCCGAGTAGCAGCCCTGTGAGGTAGACTCTGTTACATCTATTATCACTGCTCGGAGGGGAAGCTGTTTGTCTGGGGGCTGCTGCTGGAACTCAGAAGGAGGGGGGAGCGGGCAGTCTGTCTGCTTGGCCGGATGCCCCTGCTTCAGAAAACAGGAAAAAAGAGTTGTCGGCTTTTCCCAGCATTCCTTCTATTTCACACTCACCATGCTTGTTCTGCTGCAGATCACCAACAACCAGACTGGACGAACGGTCTTTTCAGAGACGGTGATTACGTCTGTGGGAGATGAGGAAAGCAAAAGGAGCCACGTGAGTTGTCACCTCCCCTGCGCTCACACCCCAAGGCACACACGCCTCCCTGCCCCCTGCCAGGGGTGACCCAGGCTTCAGACCGTGGGCAGGAGGGAGCTGGCTCTCAGGCGCCTTTCCTGCCTCATTTCGGCCAAGAGTGTCTAATTCCTGACTAGGCCGGTGCAGTCTGGTCATGGGCTCTACTTTCATGGACTTTTCATCAGAAATAACAGAGAAAGTACATTCAGTTGTCATTTGCATGGCCTCGTCTCAGCCTTGAAAGGGGAACATGGAAGTACCAGGTACGTTGATTAGGGATCCTGGTTCCAAGACCTGGTGCATCCAGCTGTGGGACATCCTAGAGCCTCTGGCCTGGCCCGTGTGTGCCTTGTGTAAGTTCAGCCCTGAGCAGGCAGTTTGAGAGCAGGAAAACCGTAGGTGGAACCCAGTGGCCTGCAGGAGAAAGGGTGCCCTCTCACTGCAGGTTCCTGCTTGGCCCCCTTGTGATTACACCTGCTACTTAGGTGCCTTTTTTTTTCTTTAATAGAATTAGAGAGGCCTCAAGTTGGAAGGGGTGTTATTTCACAGCAGGAAGACCTGGGCACAGTGACCCAATTGGACTCTCTGGACTCTAGACTCCCAGGTCAAAGGTGATTCACCCGCAGTTGATCTTCTCAAAGAAGCAGCTGGCTTCAGATGCTCATGGGTGGCAAGGCCTGAACAAGGCGACTGCCTCGCCACATGGCCACAGTAAAAATGTGCCTCCTTTGTGGAGACCACGAGGACCAGCCTTTCTGTGCCCAGGTGCCTTTTGCAGATTTCCGAACTGTGAGTTCTTCCCTTCCAAGGATCAAGGATTTCCCCTTGCCTCATATGGCCTTATCTCCAGGAGAGAGCGAGTGCATTTGTAGCAGTCGGGGCTGGAGCCTTCTGGGCCTGTCCCCAGCGCAGTGCTCAGACACATCCTGCCAGCGGAGGGGTCCAGGCAGCTGTGTGTGATGCTAATGACCTGACATTGGTGGGGTGGGGGTAGGGCAGGCTGTGTGATGAAAGGAAAAGACCTTGAGCAGGGGAGGCTAGAAGCATGAGTTTGTTGCTTACAAGCTGGGTCACCTCAGCATTCCCATGTTCAAGCGGGGCAATGATTTTCTGTTTCCCCAACTCTGAAAGTACCAAAGCCTCTGAAACAAAGACAGGATTGACTAAGGTCAGGAGGGATGAGAAGCCAGCTTTCGAAGTTGGGAAGAGAGAGGGCAGCAAAACAAGAAACAGCCAGCTGTAGGCACTGTCATGTTGCCCAGAAGGAGAAGCTTTAGGGTATTCCAGTCTCGGTTTGGGGCCCCAGGAGGGCAGGGGCCCCTGAGCAGAAGCCATGGCCTAGAAAAGGCAAGGGAAACAGAGTTCACAGGGCTGTGAATTAAGGAGGAAAAAAACCACTGTCCTGAAGTTAAAAAAAAAATCCTGTGATTGTACGAGAAGGAGGTTTGCTCCAGGGAGCTTCCCGGAGCCCAGAGGGCAGCAGCGCCGGAGGTGAGCACTCCTGCACCTGCCAAGTACACACATGGCCTGCGGCATTCACATCCCTCCTTGCTCTCCCCTGTGCTCCATGGGGGAGATGGCTATTTTCCCCCTGTGATGGGGGAACCGAGGCTGTGGTCACGGTGAGCAGGTGAGAGACAGGATCGGAAAGATGCAAAGAGCGTGCCTGGGCCAGAGAGCCTGCGCGTGTGTGCTGCTGCCAGTGTCCGTGCTAGCTCTCCCGAGAGCGCTCAGCCTCCTGTGTCCCTGCTCAGCGGGGAGGCCCAGACTCTCCAAGCCTTTCTCTCTACACCATCTCCTATGTCCATTGTGTGATGCGGACGTATTGCAGCAGCTTTGTGCAGTGCACGATTGAACCCCTGTGTACATGGTCCTGAGAATGCAGGAGGCTGATGGGACGAGGGATCCCAGAAACCCAGAAGGTAGAGGCTCACCAAGTTTTTCTAGATTCCTGCTCGGGCACTTGGAGTATTAACTCACTGAGTTTCTCTGTGAGAATAAATTCCAATGTGATTGGTTAGAAGGGAGACCTCAGCATCTGATGCTTGGCTAGCTAGTTTGCAGAGAATGGGTCCGTAGAGAACAGATTGGAGACTTTTCAGGCCACCAGTGACATGGATGTCCTGTTCAGGAATGGTGATATGTGTACCCCACCCAGAGCCTCACTCATTGCCAGAGTGGCTTGCTAAAAGGCGGAGAAGCAAGATCTAGTTTCAGATGCCCACAGAATTCTTCCGTCTAACTGCTCTTCGGTTCCTGGGTCGCCACGGCCCTAACACAACTGAGCAGGGCTCACGCCTCACCTTCACAGAGACAGGAAGCTCCTCTCCCCGAGTAGGAAGCTGTAAAGACTAGATTGCTTTCAAAGGAGTGTGAAGGGTCGAATATTGTCACCGCTGTCCCATTCCAGAGTTTTATATTGTAATGCTTTTTACAGTTGGCTCTGAAATGCATTACACACTCAAGAACTTTCTCTTAAGGGGGAAAGGGAGGTTTGCCATTCAAAAGGACAAAAATTATATGCTGTTCCAATGTTCAGTGACTGTAAACAGGGGCCAAATTTTCAGGATTTAAAAGTCCCAGATGAATTCAATTAAAAATAATCACCCACGCACCCCCTATTTTCCTTTCTTCAAATGCTGGTGTGCGTATTAATATGTATGGTAACCCGAGGAGGCCCATGGGAAGTTACAGACAGTAATACTATATGCCTGTCTAGAAGACTTAGCACAGCATGTGCAAGGCGTGGGGCTGTTTTTACATTCAAATGCGACAGGGGAAAAGGACATTGCAGCTTGTTATTTCACCCGAGCGCGTCGGCGATGGCGATGTGGCCCGACGTCCTTCTGTGAGGCTTCCGAGCGGAGCACTCAGCCTGTCTCCCTTCACGGGCCAGTGGGTGGCTGACTAATGTGCAGGGCAAGGTGGGGAGGAAGGCGGTATGTTGGAAGCCAGAGAGCGGACACGCCACTATGCATCAGTGGGAAGCTTTTATTTATTTATAGCCCTGTGTCCCCAGATAGGAAGAATCCGGCCCAGTTAGCCAAGGCACCATTTTGGAGGGACATGTCTCCTCCAAACAGAGGAGCTCACAGCTCACAGCCACCAAGCTCAGCACGTCGTGCATTTGTTGTCTTTTCTGTTTTTACACTGGAATATGAGATGAAAACGTAGGCTCATTTATTTTCCCAGCTAAACATAACTTGTTTGAATCTATAGGTGCAACTCCATTACAACCAACTCCAAATCTTGGTCAAGACTTCTAGGCCCCAGGGAGACAAACTTCAGTACCAAAATCATGTAGATAGTAGCGATCTGAGTGACCCAGCGACTTTCTTGTCCCGGAGAGTAATCGGGGTGACGGTGCCTTTCTGACCTGACGCAGTGGTGGGCGTCAGGTGGGCGATGACAGTGGAATGCTCCACAGGTGTGAACCAAACATCTTCTCTGTCGTGAGGGTGCTTGCCTGTTATCTGTGCTGGAGATGGGGAGAAGCGGGAAGGTAAACGGCGGCTGGACTTCTCCAGGCTTGTTTGTTGGTTTCCCATTGAACAGCGAGCATCCTGTCACCTCGAAGCCCAGGGAGACCCAGCAGGAGTGTGGGAGGAGCCAGGGTGTTGAATGATAGCTTTCTCCCCCCACCTCCAGCTTACCCATTCATCACCGAGTAAACATAGGTGGGGTGCTGGCTTTGTTTGCTCTCTATGCCCTGATTTCTTTTTTAAAAGATATTTTATTTATTTATTTATTTTTGGAGAGAGGGGAAGGGAAGGAGAAAGAGTGGGAGAGAAACATCAATGTGTGGGTACCTCTCACATGTCCCTTACTGGGGACCTGGCCTGCAACCCAGGCATGTGCCCTGACTGGGAATTGAACCGGCGACCCTTTGCTTCACAGGCCGGTGCTCAATCCACTGAGCTACACCAGACAGTGCTACGCCATGATTTCTGATGCTGGAGTTGCAGAGGGCACTGTGATGATAAGTCACTGGAATCGTTATTTTAACAGAAATGCTCAGGGGGAAGGCATAGGCCTGTTAGAGAAACTCAGTCAGTTCCCAAAGGTCCCTGCCCCCTGAAGAGTCCTGCTGGGGCAAGAAGTGGGGCGCCCAGCCTGGAGGTCAAACTCTGACCTGACCCTTCCCAGCTCTGTTCTTTATGAGTCAGTGTCTTCATTTATCAAATGGGGCTAATAATCCCCAGTTCACAAAACCGAGTAAGCATCTAGGTAGGCAAGGTTTCTAAAAGCTCTTTGTGTGAGGCTCATTATTATTGGGAAGTAATTATAAGTGCGCTCTAATTGGTTTCTCCCCTGGTTCCCAGCAACCTACTGCCAAGAGAGTGAGTTTTCCCCCCGGAGGCAGAGGAAATGTTTAAGGACTCCACAGGCCTCTTTCCACTTACGTTCTGCAGGGCCCCGCCTCACCCTCTGAGCAGTGCACTTCCCCTGGGCTCTGTGTTCCTAGCCACAAGGTTGACTCACCTGCTGCCCTTGCAAGTCAGATCTGTCTGGTTTGGGCATTAGGGATACAGCCGGGAGCAAGGATGGGCCGTAATGAGTGACGAGAAGAGTAGGTGATGGCCAGGTGCTGCCAGGCTCCAAGACGGGCCTCGGGCTGGCAGGACATGCACTGGTCTTCTCTACAGAGAACAGCAGACTTGAGGTTCTAAGAGCGATGACCCCATCTTGTGTGAATGTACATTTCCACTGCCCCGTAACCAGAGATTTGGGTACCTCTGTGATTCCGGATTCACATTTTGAGTTGAATCTGTGATTTTTGGCCAAGGATAAGGCCCTCATGCCTTCATCCAATAAGGAAAATTACAGAGAAAATGACAGACCTCTGGATCATTCTGAGAAATGGATAAACAATCTCCAAGTCAATGAAGCTGATGCAGGCATTTCTTTGCGAGCTATAACGTGGCTGTGTTAAGTTATACTCTCCTCAACCTAGCTATCCGTCAAGAAGGAAGTCATTA